GCTGGTAGCCAATAGGCTGCATGAACAGGGCCGGTTACTTTGCACCAACCCGAAATCTCGCTAGGCACACACATGCTTCCATGTAGGCTCAACTGTATCAACATCAAGACCAGTGCGCATGGGCGCCCCAGGTCACCAAGGATCCATCGGCAAGGATCGCAGCAAACACCTTTCTGCAGGCCTGGAGATGCTTGACGTCCTTAAGCTGCGCGTGCACCATGCTGCTGTCTCCGCCTTGCTCCGCATCGCCCCAGGTGACAACAGATCCATCCTTGAGGATGGCAGCAAAAGCTTTGTCTGTGGCCTGGATCTGCACTACATCTACCAGCTGTTTCTGCACGGCAGTGCTGTCACCACCCTGATCTGCATCACCCCAGGTTACCAGGGATCCGTCGCCTCGGAGGGCTGCAAAGGCACCGCCCGAGGCCTGGATCGCTTGGACGTTGCTCAGCCGCTCGATGGACCCGATGTCCTCAGCACAATCCGAGAAGCAAAGGCACGGCTCCATCTCCCCCCATGTCACCACGGCTCCTGAGCCAGTGATGGCAGCAAAGGACCTCGCGGAGGCTTGGACTTGCTTCACGTCCCTCAGCTTGCCCTGAACTTCACTGCTGTCCCCGCCATATTGGTCATCGCCCCAGGTCACAACGGATCCATCTGCCAGGATCGCGGCGAAGGCGGCGCGGGTTGCTTGGATGTGCAGCACGTTTTTCAGCCTGTCCTGAACTGAGCTGCTATTGCCACCATAGTCGGCATCGCCCCAAGTGACAACAGAACCATCGTCAAGGATGGCTGCAAAGGCTGTGTAAGTCGACTGGATGTGTCGAACCTGCTGCAATCGCTCCTGCACTTTGCTGCTATCCCCACCATAGTCCACATCACCCCAGGTCACCACTGACCCATCTTGGCGGATCGCAGCAAAGGCATTTTGCGTGGCCTGGATCTTCTGAACGGTCGTAAGCTGGTCCTGAACGGCACTACAGTCGCCTCCATAGTCCGCATTGCCCCATGCGACAACAGATCCATCAGTTAAGATGGCGGCGAAAGCTCGGAACGAAGCTTGAATGCGCTGCACGCCCTTCAGGAGATGCTGCGCGTCACTGCTATCACCGCCACAGGCAGCATCACCCCAGGTGACAACAGACCCGTCACTCAGGGTTGCAGCAAAGGCTTTGTGATTGGCTTGGACGCGCTTCACATTCTTCAGGTGATCCCGCACAGCACTGCCTAGGGCTGACAGGGGACAAGATAAGCAGACTTCCCACCCTGAGCGCTTTTACTTTCGCAGCTGTCGCACATGTAAATACTATAAATCTCACTTTGTGGCCATGCCCTCGTACGATATTTCACTAGCATACTGTACACTACACCTGTAGTATACCATTTATACTACATCACAGGCCCAGGTGGCTATCGCCGCCAAGGACCGCATCCCCCCGCGCAGTGACGGATCCGTCCAAAGCCAAGAAAGCCAAGGCATCAACGGATGCCCCAACCTCTGCTCTGGGGGTCTTGAAGCTCGAGGACCACAAAACGGTTAGGGTTTAGGGTTTAGGGTTTAGCTGAATCTAGCTACCCATACCGACTGCCGTGTAGAGTATGTAGTAGTTACAATTTACTAGACTATCTCTTGTACAGTAGATGTGCTGTAGTACACGATAACATACTTTACTATGCAAAAGTAGACTGTGACATGTCCGAAGAAACTCTACTACATCGTATAGATTATATACAGAAGGACTAGTATCGTCTATCCTAGAGGAAGCACTGCTGGCCCGAGCTGCCTGCACCTGGCTCACCACCAGGTCTCCGCCTTTCCCTTCAGCCAAGGCTGTCTGCAGGCGCTGGGTCAAGTCCTCGCTTGGAGTGGTCGAGTTCCCCAGCGTTCACGGCCCCCCGAATTGAATTCCGAATCGGAAGTGGCTTTGGGGACCTCGCGTCAGCCTAGCTAATCAGATGATCCCAGCACTTGGCGGGAAAGTGCCAGCGCCTGGGGCCTACTCCCCACGGCCTATGCGGCGCAAACCCATGTCCCAGAAACCCCTCAAACTGACCGAAACCCTAAACCTTTAAACCCTAAACCCTAAACCTTTAAACCCTATAAACCCTAAACCCCTCAAACTGACACCGAACACTCCCAGACCATGACCCAAAAATCCTGGACAAATCTACCGATCTAGCACCTTCTCGGCCTCATGTCCTGAGTCCGAACTCATGGAAACAGAAGATAGGGTTTAGGGTTTAGGGCTTAGGGTATACTAAACTTTACTCCACCAGATGATCCTATAACCATATACTCCTTCACTACATGGCCCTCTATGACAATCCTAGAACCAAAACTACATCTTATGAATAACTCTGACTCAGCTGCTGTATGGGGGTTTCCGAAAGTAGGAGACCCTAATATAGTACCCTAAATAGTAGGATCCTTATTATAAGGACCCCAAAATAAGGTACCCTAATTCTTCTGAAAGCCCCATACTACCGTCACCCAAAAAAGCCCATGGTCTTATAGGATTCTAAACATAAACCACAAAAAGGAGCTACTTAAGGGCCTATACAGTCACCAAAAAGAAAGCCGAGGGTCTCCCACGTAGGTGGAAACATCCGCCTCCACGACGGCTCTGGGGCTCGGCAGCGGCTCCACCCGGGGGCTCGCCATTCGGAACGCCAGGGACCCGTCTACTACGGTGGATTATATAAATCCTGCCTTAAGGACCCTAAACTATGGGAATTATGGTATATACCTATAATTATGGGCATTATAACTTAAGGACCCTAAGCTACGGGAATTATGGGTATATTCGGTTAACTCTGGGCAATGCAGGATTTATATCATCAACCGTAGTACCGCTATATACACTACAGTATGCCGTAGTAGCCAGCATGGGAAAGTATAGTGTACCGTCTAGTTATCCTGCACTGTGGAAAGCACAGCATACTACTGCAGTACTGTAGCAGACTGTACAAAAGAACAGGGTCTATTCTCAGTGGTATATTCAAATAGTACAAGGTGGTTACAGTATATGAGAGGATGGCAGACTTGGAAAGTCTACGCCCGGCAAGGCTTGCAGGACCAAGCAAAGCATGCCTGCCACAGCCATGGGGTTTGGGGTTTAAGGTCTGCGCAAACGCAAGTAAGATGCATAGAGTATACACGTAGAGTTTGTTGTAGCACTTCAGGGCAAGAAGTACAGTACAGCGTCGGGTTGGGTTACTATACTATATATGATGTCGAAACTATCCCGTGGTGGACCTTCGTAGCCATGCGCCTCGATATCTCCGCGCTCCTGGGCAGGTAGTGTACTGCGCTCAGCTACATTTGGGGTGTGCTATAGCATACTCTACGCAACTGATATACTAATCATTATGGTGCACTAGAGGACGCAATAGTAGACGAGGGTATACTAATAACTAAAGTGAACTCTAGAATGCTATAGTACAAAAAAAGTGCTCTGCACCGTAGAATGCTGCGGTGGTGGAAATCGGTAAAGACCCTTGGGGCAGTAAGCCAGCGGCATACTCTACTTGAACTCTACCGTAATTCTTTGAAAAGCTATGCCGACAATACTGGCATGACTGTTTGCATTTCCCGATGCTTTGCGAAGTGTAAATTACTCTAGTATCTCTACAACCTAGCGGATGGCGTGGCAAATGCACACTCCCCTCTACACAATGCAAACAGAGTAGATAGGTGGATGGAAGAAACTGCTAGACATATACAAGAAGCCCCTTTTTGAAGCATGCACTCACAACTCTAGACTCCTAGACTCTAGACAGTAATCGTCAAAGTAGCTATAGGATGCTACGGGGTTGCTCCAAGCCCCGGAACCAATACTGAATCTTGAAACGGTAGTTATAGTAACCCTGCATATCGTTAAACCAACCCTGAACGCCCAACACACACACACTCTCTCTCTCTCTCTCTCTCTCTCTCCACCTGAAGCACTTACACCTCCAACAGAAACATGAAACGGAATTAACCACCCGCACACCTACTGACCCTAAGTCCAAGCGCACAAAAACCCCACTGAAACCTGCAAACGCTGAACTTCTGAGACCCCCTATGAACTCTAGACTCTAAAATCCTCAAAATCCTGAACCCATGTGAGAACTTCTGCAACCCTAACCCACACAACCCTAAACCCCTTCAACCCTAAACCCTATAACCCCCAAAACCCTAAACCCCTTCAACCCTAAACGCTAAAGCCCTAAACCCCTAAGCGCCTAGGCCCCTAAACCCCTAAGCACTGGGGGCGAAGCAGCTGAGCCGGGGCCGCATCAAGAGATCGGCAACCAGAGCGGTGTGATCATCGGGCCTCAGCAACAAGCGAGTAATGTATACGGACCTTAACAATTAGAACAGGATTTTGGGCCCCGTATAGTATGTCTATTAAATATGAGATGAACATGAAACCCTCTGCAAATCCTACACCCTATACACCCTAAACCCGAAACCAAATGCTATTGAGCCCAGCCGCCACATCGCGCAGCGCCTCAGCGCGAAGGCGCTGCCGAGGTCTCTGCAAGGTCCTTTGCAACAGGGTTTGAGGTTTAGGATTTAGGGCTGAGGATTTATGGCGTCAAGCACTATACACCCTGGACCTCAGTTTGGCCTATACTGCATCTATGCAAAGGTCCCTTGCAGCTGAGTTCATCTTTTTGAGCCTCCTTGCAAGTATGCTCAAGCAGCCTTCCAGGTTGGGCAACGGAAGTGGCGCTCTTGCAATGGTGGCACTGTACAAGCTTAAGTCTGCACAAGCTCTAGATAAGCAGTTGCTACAAGCAGGCATCAATTGGGTTATGTTAATCACTGTTTCTTGCAGCTATCAGTTCCGTGGCCTGTGCGACATTTATAGCACGCAATGTGGACACGCGTTCACTGGAGGCATGCGGGCTTGAATGCTCAAAACAGCATGCCAAAGCTGTGAACAGCTTCCAGTGGCCCAACGTCTCTAAGCACTGCATATTGATTTCTCATTATCAAGACCAAAGCCTTGTCACGGCTCCTGCTGGCTCAATTTCTCTAAGAGCGCGGCGGCTGCAGCTCGCTTGGCTTGTTTCTTGCCTTCAGCTGCCCGACATTTGAGACCATAGGAGCCTGTCGCCTCAACAGACCGCAAGACCGACTCATACTTCAAGCTGCACGTGAAGTCCTTGCCATCCGTACTGTGCTCCTCCTGCAATTCAACCTTGGTCTTCTTGCAATACAGATTTAGCGCTGCAAGGGCGTTGGTCGACGCATTGTCGGACGTCAGCATCACTTCTCTAGCGTTCCGCTCTCGCGAGCGCTGCGCCGCCGTCTCATTGCGGGTGTCGGTGGCGACACGTTCAGGGTTGAAGCTGCGTACGATCCTTAGATTGTCAGAGGTGCCATGAGAATCATATATGCGCACTTACACTCAAGAACTCGGAAACGACACTCGAGGTATTCCTATATGCTGCCTCGCTTCTCCAGCTGTTGTGCTTCCACCGCGGCCAGGGATGAGGTTGGTCGGTCAGGGCGCTCAGAAAGCACAACGAAAGAGGAGTCCTCTTGGCGTGCACGACCCCGGCCCTGCACAAAGGACACCGAGCTGATCATGGGGTCAAAGCGGATGACGCAGTTGGCTGCCGGAACATCCATGCCCTCCTCGGCGACCACCGTTGCAATGAGCAGGTTCACACTTCCATCTGCGAACTGGGCCAGGCGGGCTTTGGAGTCCGCCCTGTAGGAGGCCGTGGCGGGTGACGAAGTGGCATAGATGCACGCCGGCTTGAACTTGCTCACAAGCTCGCCGTCGGTTAGGATGACATGCTCCAGGACGTGTGTCATGATCCGCTGCTGCACGAAGAGAATCCCACGGAACGAGCCATGCGTTCGCGAAAGGGTGGCATGCTCATACAGCAAGGTATCCTTTAAGTGCTCGAAGCGCGGGAAGCACTCCACTGCCTCGTGCCAGAACTGCGCCAGAGTTGCTTCGGCCACTGGTGGCCAGAGGCCTGCTGCGGGCTCCCTTTCCCCCACCATTTGCAAATATGCTACGGCAGCATCTTCCGCTTCTTCCCAAGATGTCACAAGCATTCTCAGGGCTTCATACCAGTGTTCCAGCGATGCAAGCTTCGAACATGTTGGGATCCTCTTGTGCGCATAATCTCCCCACGTCCTGGGAGCAGGATTCTGCAGAGGAGACTTGAAACTACTATCCACCGCTGCCACAGCTGTTTCCAGGCACCGAACCACCGAGAATAGCTTCTTGGTGAACTGGGTCGACATTCCGCGTTGGAGGCGGTCGAAGAACGTCCTCACCATGAGATGTGGTTTGCGCTCTGCAGCTGGCAACACGCCCTCCGGCACGAAGCTGGGCAGCTTGGCTGGAAGAACTGGCTCCGCCGCCTTGCTGTGGTAGCCACCAGTTGCAAGCTCCTCACCACCGGCAGTGGCCATGTGCCGAATTTGCAGCTCGCGGCAAATCCGCGTTACATCCTTCTGCACCTTTCCCTCTCCAACTGCATAGGTCAAAGAGGCCGACAAGCCTAGGATTTGCGGGCCAAGCTGTAGCTTTGAGAGCGACAGCGCTAGCCTACGGTAGGGATGATCCTTCAAGACATGATGAACTTCGTCAAAGACCACCAGCTTGAAAGCATCCCATTGGAACACGGCAGCTCCCTTGGACTGTGTCATCTGGAACGCTTTTGGGGTCGAGACGAGGACATCGAAGTGCGCAGGAAGGGACATACCGCCCATGAACTCTGCAACCTGCAGCCCTGTCCAATCTCTCACTGCTTTAGCCTGCTGCTCCACAAGGAGGCAAGTCGGTACAAGGAAGAGGCAGGGAGGCCCTAGTCGACGGATGAGCTCTGAGGCTATCAGCGTCTTGCCAGCGCCCGTTGGCAGCACCACGAGAGTGTTCCCAGATGCCAGGATTTCCTCGAGAAGCCGCGCCTGGTATGCCCGGAGCTCCATCGTACCGACAAGGCGATTTGAAGTATCGCAGAATTGCTTGTGCCTGTACGTTTGCGAGCGTTGCTGCACCAGCCATGTCAGCCTATGTAATATATATATATATAGAGAGAGAGAGAGTAATTATGACCCTAAATCCTAAGCCCTGAACCCTAAACGTAAACATAAATACATGCACGTTGATATGTGATAGCCGATAGCACTGCACCGGCACGCACCCCGGTCCAGGTGTGACATCCGCAACAAGGCATCCACGGAGACCTGCGCCGCTGTTCACCTGGCGTCTTTGGAGTTTGTGTTTACCCATAGGCCCCTAAGTAGTTTCTTTTGGGGATTACCTTATAGGATTCTAAATATAAGCCTTAAGAAGGAACTACTTAGGGGCCTATGGGTCGGGTTTGGGGTTAAGGGTTTTGGGTTTCTAAAATTATACATCTACGCTTACACCTATATCTATGTCTATGTCTATATCAATATCCAAATCTACATCGGTACCTACATCTCTATGCTACAAGGAACCCTAAGGAATAACCTTGGTAGGTACTTAGGCTTCTGTAATAGTCCTCCTTCTTAGGGTGCCTTTTAGGGCTCCCTAGAGGGATCCATAAGGATATCTACAAGCCTAAGTACGTTTTGGGTTCAGGGGTTTAGGGTTTAGGTGGGTTTTGGGCTTTCGGTTTCAGGTGATGAAGGGTCTGGGAGGGGGAGGGGGGTTGGTGTTGGGTGGTTTAGCGATTCAAGAAATGAATTGGTGATGTGATGTTGGGTGGTCTGTGGGAGCACCTATATGCAGCTCGAAGAGGATTTCGGCCCCCACAATGGTAGAACTGTACAATCAAGTAGAAATCAAGGTTTGGGGATTCAACACAGTGGGAACATGTCACCAGGTAGAATAGGATTTAGGGGTGGAATGTGTACGTGTACGTAAATTATCTTATCTAGTTTGCGGCTGTGAACAACTGATGGGCAAGGAGGCCATTACACTGTATTCATTCCCTAACTAATCAAGCCCTTACATTAGCACACGACCCCCCCCCCCCTCCCGGCCCCCGCCCCACAAAAAAGAAAAAAGCATAGAAGTCGCAGAACACTAGTTATCCAGACCAACAAAATGGGCGTTTGGCCCACTGTTGAAGGCAAGTGAGAGTGGGGGTTTAGGGACCACCAATTATTTGGGTTTGTGTGTGAGGGTTTAACTATGAACAACAGGCATGCACATGGAAACTACAATACAAGTCTTCGTAGCAGTGTTGTCACCATCAAACTGGAAGATTTCGTTGCTACTGTCATAAAACCAAACCCCCAATCCTAAACCCTACATCCTAAACCCTAAACCCTACATCCAAAACCAAAAACCCCACATCCTAAACCTTAAACCCTAAACCAAAATCCTAAGCCTTAAACCCAATGTGCGGATGTGTCAGGTCATGCCGAGCCTCAGCTCCCTAAGATTCCCTAAGTCCTACAAAGCACAATCAATGTAGTGTTTAGGGCTTGGGGTTTAGGGATTATAGCAGGTTTAAGATTTATAGGGATTAGGACTTAGGCTTAATGATTCAGGTTTCACCCCGCGCACTCTGAACAATCCCACCCGCATGAATGCATGAAACCATGAAGCACTCCCAAACCCTTTCCCCCAAATCCCTAAACCTTAAACCCCAATACACCCCAAATCCCGTGAAAACCCCAAACCCCAACCGGTATCAAGCCCGAACCACTGCACCCCAAACCCTAAACCCTAAACTCGAAACCTGTAACCCTAAACCCTAAACCCAGCACAGCCTCCCCAGAGGCTCTTCCAGGCGCTGCACCGCATTCCGGAGAGCCCGAAGCTCTGCCTTGAGAAGGAAATGGCCAAAACTCTGGTCCAACATACATGTATGTGTGTGTGTGTATGTATGTGTGTGTATATATATATATATGTTCATTTATTTGCGTATATATATATATAGATATCTAATACTTTTCATTTGCAAAATCATTCATTTGTTCATTTGTTTAAGAGCTTTTTTACATTACTTATATTTGTTCATTTATTTCAAATTTGCATGTACGTACATATGCATATCTATGTGGATAGGTGCATGGCGGTGCCTGTCTCTCTATGTGTGTGTGTATGTATGTGTATGTATATAACAGTATATAGTCGTTGTCATGCATATATATATATATATATACATATATATATGTATGTATATACATACGTATGTATGTATGTATGTATGTACGTACGTACGTAGGTATGTATGTATGCATGTATGTAAGTATACCTATATTGCTAGTTTGTTTCTTCGCTTCACTCACTCACTCACTCACTCACTCACTCACTCACTCACTCACTCACTCTGTTAAATGACACGAGCGCAATGTACCCCTGGATGAACATGATGCATTATCGAATGCTACCATGCCGAAGGCCATTTGGCTCAAGACTCGACATGACTGGCTTGGTCGCATCAAGGAATGCGTGATTGATCGTTGGTGACTGGGGAAAGAGATTGATCTCGGTTGGTTACACATGCCTGGATTGTTTACTGTATAATGTTGCATACTCACTCAATGACTCACTGACTCACTGACTTTCTGACTCACTGACTCACTCACTCATCCATTTCCTCACCCTTCATTCATTCATTCCTTCATTCATTCACTCCTCCATTCCATTCTATTCCATTCCATTCCATTCCATTTCATTTCCTTCCTTCCTTCCCTCATTCATTCATTCATTCATTCATTCATTCATTCAAAAACTCATTCTCTAGCTATTTCTCCATATTCTTTCGAATTATATACCTTATATACGTTCATTCAATGTAGCACCCTAAACCCCCAAACCCTGAACCGTAAACTCCGCGCTACGCTGGGTTTCAGCCTTTGGGGTGTTGGGCTTCGGGTTTAGGACGTTTAGGCTTTTCGTGTTTAGGGATTAGGCTTTTCGTGTTTAGGGATTAGGCTTTTCGTGTTTAGGGATTAGGGTTTTCGTGTTTAGGGATTAGGGTTTTCGTGTTTAGGGATTAGGGTTTTCGGGTTTAGGGTTTTTGGGCTTAGAGTTGCGGGTTTGGGGCTTAGGGTTTAGGGTCTCTGGCTTTGGTGCAGCAGCCCGCTCCATGGTCACCATCAAGTTGTATAGAAAGCTCCGCACCGAAGCCCTGAAAATGCGAATCTTCAGCTCAGCTCCCAAACCGTAAACCCTAAACCCTAAACCCGTAAACCCTAAATCCTAAACCCCAAACCCCGGGCCCCAGACCCAAAGCCACCAACTCCCAGGCCTAAACCCAACACCAACCCGAAATCCCAAATCCCCAAAGCGCAAAGGCCCCCCCCAAGGTAGAAGGCTACATGTAGTAGGATCGGTGGCAGTAGAAGCCTGACTAATTAGGATTCTTGATATCAAGAAGCCAAAGCATATTACAAGGACAGAAGACATGCAGAAGACCATAGACCCTATAAGCCCTAAACCCTAAACCCGAAGCCCCAAAACCCCTAAACCCTGAAACCCCTAAACCCTAAAGCCTGAAACCACAAAGCCCTAAAACCCCAAAANNCCTACAGCCTAAACCCTTAAACCCTAACTTCTTGGGCCTCGGCGCCCTCCATGTCGGATCGATCGGCTCAGAGCTTTCCATGGTTGCTTTAGGGCTCTAGGGTTTAAAGGGGCATTGTAGGGTCCTTATTCATTAGAATAGGGTTTTGGGGTATCTTCTACTAGAACTATCATAAGGAACCCCTAAAATAGAATAGGGTTTAAAGGGGTATTGCAGGGTCCTTTCACCCCAGGTGCAGATATGATCAGATATGTCGAGATCCGTCTGTGACGTCGCCAACTGGTTCGGGGTTTAGGGTTGAAGGTAGTTCTGCTTACCGCTTTTGCACTGTGCGGCCTCGGATCTGGCTGTCCTCTGAGCCAGCAGCACATGAGAACCCTTGAACCCTAAAACCCTGTCCCTTGAAACACTTGCGCAAAAACACCTCCAACACCCAAGAGCCCTTAAACCCCGGTATAAGCCCTACCTACAGGGTCACGTAAAACCTAAGTACCCGAAAACAGGGTGCAGAGTATGACCCTCTAGGACGGTTTAGGGTTTATGGATTACCTAAACCCCAAAAGTAATTAAAATAATGGCCCAAAACCTATAAAAGGCTATTTATTCTACATACTTTTAGGGTTTAGGTCACTCGAATTTCGCGTTTCGGGTGGGAGAGCTTGGGGCTCACAAGGCTCAGACCTTGGAGGGCTGAAAGTGTAGGGTTTGGGCTTCCGTCTATTTGGTTTAGGGCCGAAAACCCTGAACTTTATAGGGTTTAGGGTGTTTCTAGGGCTTAGGCTCATCAGATCCCCAACCCTAAAAGTTTAGGCTTCACAGGATGATGCCTTGCAGCTTTCGTCTTGGAGCGGGAGGCGTTTTGGGTGGGGCCGAGTCTGGGGCTTTAAACTGTGCTCTAGGTGTCGAATTCAACAGCCCAAGAGTATTTTTTAGGGCTCTATGTTAGGCAATAACTATCCCAAACCGATACCTCGTATGCGCCGAGCTTCCTGTCTGGAACGCCAATTAGGGGTTAGGGTTTGTAGGGTTTCGGGAAGACATCGAGGTGGAGGTCGTGTGTTCATGAGCTTGCGGACACGAGCGCAGTCTCTTGAAGTGAGCTCTGTAGCTACCTCGCCCTCCGGGACTCGCCCAAACCCATGTCCTAAACCTGAACCCTGAAAATCAAGCCCTAAATCCTCAACCAAGAAATCTACATATAAGCATATATATATATACACATATATATATATGTATGTATGTATGTATGTATGTATGTATGTATGTATGTATGTATAATATATATATATATGTATACATACACACAAACACACACACAAACACACACACACAGAGTAACCCTTAGCCGATATCCCTGGCAACGATGCGCCCTAAGGATCTCTAAGGGCCCAAAGCAGAGAGCACCCAGACTGGCAGAATGGCATCTCCTTTAGGGTTTAGGGTTTATAGGGTTTAGGGTTTTGGGTTTATAGGGTTTTGGGTTTTGGGTTGTAGGTGCTTGCCGGACCACCCCACGAAACCTATGTGTATGTACAAAAACACACACACACAAACACACGCACACACACACACACAAAAAACACACACACACACATACACAATGTACAAATAACTATGAACATAAATATGAATATAAATATACATATATATACTACACAGTTAATTTCAACTTTTGTATTAATACACACTATACAAGCACATGGATGGTTGGTTAGGCTTGGATATGCACATGTCCAGATGCACTTTCTTTTCCATTTCTCTTACCAAATCATGAATAGACTACTGCCTGCCTCTAAACCGCCTGAATCAGGTACAGCGCAGATGCAGTTTCATGAGCACGATTTTCCAAAGGTCGATAAATCATGCATGCAGTCGCGCGAGGACGAAACCCTCTCGACGGTCTTGGGTCCTAACCTAAGCTTCAGCAAAACAGGCAAAAATCAGCAAACCGCCCGGCCGTCTGGACAGAAAAAGTCTAGGGATCCCTCAACCTTAAACCCTGCTCTAATTGGGCAATCATGGTCAACCCTCTTTGGACCTGTCGGCCAATCGTCTCAGAGCTACTCGACACTCTCCTCGATGTCGTAGCCCGACTGGATGTGGGGGATTTGTTGTAAGGTCTTCCTCGGCCCCAAAGGTATGTACGTAGAACAATAGCCTCTTATAGCTGTCTTGTCCAGAACCTGTAAAGCGTCATTGGGTCTTGGGCTTTAGACTTCCAGGACATACTGGATTAAGGCTTGCAGGGTGCGGGGTTGTGGGGGAGTGGGGCTTCAGGTCGGCTCTGCATTCGATTCGGTCTAGGGCAAAGGCACGACATGGAAACAGATGGATAACTTGAAGAAGCATCCAAGGTTCGCCTCTGGGAGCTTGGCTTTGCGGGCATGAGTCTTGCTGATACCGGCCCTGAACACCAAAACTCGAAATCCACCCTAGCTGGAAGTCAAACTAAACGCTGGGCCGTAAGAACACCCTGATGAAAAACAGGAAGACCAACATCGAAGACTCCACAGGGTGGTGGACACTACTGGGCGCCAATCCCACCCCATGGTTTCCCCTCAGCCAGCACATAGTAAAGCCCGCCGAGAGTGCCCGCTTCGTGGTCAAGCTACACTGTATCGCAACGTCAGAAGATATCATTCCCTAGCCCCCCAGACCGTGTCGGAAGCTCAAAACCCGGAAAAACTGAACTCCGAATCCCCCGACATCCGGAAGACCCAGTCCCAACTCCGACATGTTTTGCAGTCTCGCGAGCGCTTTGTTCGCAACGCTGCCTGTAGGATGATCGGAGTGCTCCGGCGGCCAACCGGCCCGTCAGGGCCGCCGACCACCAGGGCCGAACTTCTTAAACTCTGAAAATCTAGAAAATCTGAATAGATCGGTGCCCTGGGCCCTGACTCAGCTTTCCTTGTGGAAGTCCTTCGCTGACTTCTGTTCAGAGTCCAGAGTTCTCCACAGACAAATTAATGAACACAAACACACAGAACAGCCGAGGCACGCGCTTCGTCTCACGGAAGGGGTGGCAGCCCAAGCTCCTTCGCCACTTTCCGAGCCTGCAGCGGATCGGTCACGCACACGGCGCTCTCTTTCTCTGCTCTCCGGCCCCCGCCTCGGCCACAGAGACCTCGCGCACCACCAAGACGTCGCTCACTTCTTCGTCCTCCATGCGGAGCCAGGCCTTTGTGCGGTCCGCGCTGAGCTGCACCCCGCGGCCCCTATAGTCCTCTTCGAAGAAGCAGACCTCCACGCCGCCGCTGACATGCGTGAACGTGCCCTTGCCCTCCCGCCAGCCGTTGTGGAACTCCCCGACGAACACACTGCCGTCCGCATACTTGAAGGTCCCGTAACCGTGCATCTCGCCATCCACGTACTGCCCCTCGTAGACGTTGCCGCTAGGGAACGTGCAGCGAGCTCGGCCCTGGAGGTCGCCCTCGTCGTCGACGCGCAGCTCCAGGTCGCCCTCCATGGGCTCATACCACGGCGAGACCATCTCCACCTCGTCGTTAATGCCCTCCGCCCACTGCTTTCGGGCCCTCTCCACTGCCAGGGCTAGACATTCCTCCGTTGTGCTGCCGCCTCCTCGAATGTCGGTGGTCGCAAAGGCAAACATGCCCATTCTTGGGATGCGCCACTTGGTGCCCATCTTTTCCTCCGCTTTCTGCATGTCGGACTTCTCCCGGACCACGCCCTGCTGAATTTGCAGGACGAAGCCCCTCTTCTTGCTCTCGATCCTGTCTAAGTTTTCTGAGAAGGTGAGCAGCCACCTGCCATCGGCCTTGTCCCCGTAGAGCTCCTTGCGGGTGAGGGTGAGAGGG